CATATTACACACACACAAAAGAAGATATTTGACCTCACTTGTCCTCAAAGCAGTCTAATTTGCCTAGATATTAAAGCGCTAGTGATGTGTATTTAATGAGAATTCTTTTTGCATGTTTATTATCCAGTGACATTTAGGAGGTCAGCCTGATAATTCAGTTATGGCCTCTGTCTTGCTACTTTATTTAATGTAAAGGAAAATGGGATGTGACCCAGGTTGCATTTAACTACAAATAACAACAGAATGTGAGCTCGTATCTGGCCTGACAAAAAGCAGAGAGGGAGTGAAGCAGACGCAGCCGTTCCCTGGGTGGAAATGTGGGGAGCCTGAGCCCAGCAGCAGCACATACAGAGACCTTCCCCTCTCACCACTTTGTGTGATGTTCAGCTGTCAAAGATAAACAAGCTCCACGGGCTGATTCTCAAACTACCGTGCAGGGTCATTCAAATTCTTAAAAGCCAGGAGAGCCCTCAACCCAAACCCTTACCCAAAGTTCATCCAAACTCCACCACAGCCCCTCCTGATGCCCTCTAACCAGCCACAGCTTGTTATACTCTCATTTACCTTCCTATCTCTAAGCTGAAAAAAAAATCCCTTTTGCTTCCCAGTGCACGATGGAGATCTAAAGCTCTCCCCACATGGCCTCCTGCCTCGAGGTGGGTTTCCACAGCTTGACTTTGTGCAGGTACCACACTCTGAGGAGCATCCCCGGGAGCTGCACAGGCAGAGACTGCAGAACGGGGGCCGGGTGCTGCGGTGTCTCAGGCCGTGCAGCCCCCAGAAAGACTTCTTCTGCCTCAGACATAAAAGGCTCTGTGGGGGGCAGAGGGGGGTAGGCGTGAAGTGAAGACTTATTTTCTTCCTTGCTGTGAACACTTCATCTCCACACAACGCGCGAGTCTCCCTGTGTCCTTCCTAGAGCACTCTGGAGCATAATGAAGCACAGTTTCTTGTTTCACACTCCCATCTTTGTTTATTTTATTTAAAGCTTTCACTTCGGAGCTTTGAGGCTAGAGATCAAACAAATAAAAGGGAATTTGGAAGCTGCAATGTCTGATCTACATTCTGCTCAGAAGTTAAACTAAAAATTGCCCCCCAGCCAATACACAGGCACTCGTTTTGGAGACTGTTTGGTAGGGTCTAATACAGCCAATTTGCCTCCCAGAAGGTCAGTATGAAAATCCTTGGTTATTACTTCACCTATCAGATGACAAAGTTAGTCTCACGACTAAGGCACTGGACTCAAATTTAAGAGATCTGAAATTACGTTTCTGTATTTAATTTCACAGGTGCCACACACTCAACGAAGTCAGCCATCGCTCTTCCTGCCATGTGGCCATCTCACCCATTTGGGTACAAACCTTCTGGGACAAAGACCCTGATTTTTTTCCTACAGCAAAATTTTCCATTTGCATATAAGTAAACTGAGAGCTAAACATCATTCTCCCTTAGAACCATATGGGCAACAGCTCCTTCTCTGATAGAATTAAAACCAATGATCTCACCAGCAGGTCTTTGCCTCATGTTCTCAGTTTCCACTTCAGTCTCCCTTACCAGCAAACAAGCAACAATCATTTTGACTCTTCTGATTCGTATGATAGTTTAAATATTACAGAAAAAATTCTGTCTGAGTAGGTAGCATTTCTGGCATATTGGGCAATTTTCCTGTTACGTTGGACCTATTCCCTTATATACTATGATGCTGATCACAAATTTCTACCAAATGCAATTTCAGATTACATGGCCAAAACTACAGATCTTCTATTTATACCTGGTTTGTCAGATGACACTCTATGCTCTTTAGACAATCTCAGTAACAGACTCATTTATTCTACTAAGTTCATATTTCAGATCAATTAGAAGACATAAAGAACCACATTTTTCCACAGTGCATGACTGGGACCCCAGCTGAAGTCAACGAGAGCCCTGCAGGCACATCTGAAAGCAGCATTTGATCTATAATCACATTTATTGGGATACGAGCACATAGAGGCTCTATCTTACCACACCGAACATATTGGGAAGATTTCTATTGCAAAGAAAATAGGATCAGAACCCAATCCATGCAGGGCACTATGGCTTGTGCCATGCCATCAGCTTTTAGGCAGAGCTCTCCAGTTGTGTGAAGGGTGTTTCTTAATCAGAGATGGCAAATCCATTGTTTGAGCACATTTCTGCTTTTATACAGAGAAAATATCCCCATGTACAATGAAAAGACTTAAAAATGCTAAAGACTTTTGAGAGTGAGTGTAGTAGACGATTCAATTATTACACATAGATTTGGTGCAAATACTTCTCTGAATGTGTGTTGCAGAGCTCAAAGCAGACAGCAGCACAGGGTTAGGTCCTGCAGTGTCACACACCCTACTCAAGCAAAGACTTGGTTTGATTTGATGGCCCCACTGTGTGCAAAACCAGCTACAACACTGCATTTTCTTTTAAGATATTTTGAAGAAAGTTTAGCGCTTAACCAACCCAAGCATCAGCACTGGAGACCCAAGTCTTTGATTTCCTCACAAAAGCAGGCAATATCCCTCCAAGTCCTCATCACACTGACTCCCACGTTACTCACACACCTTTAGGCATGAAGTGTGAAGTGCCCTGCCCAGAGTAGAGGAGCTAAATCCTAATTTCTTGCCTCTGCACCAAGCTGTTTCTAAGCTCCAAACTAAGTTCTTGGCCCAGACAGTCTTTATCAAATACACCAGTGACGGGGACCGGGATGGCAACCACCAATCTGCTCCACAAAAGCAACCAAGGAGACATCTCGTGATAACAGGTCTCAGATAGTTCTGGTCCAGAAGGCACCTGAATCAAGGACTTGGAAGGCCAAGTCTTTCAGCTGCTAATCTACTCAGCCATTCTGTGGCTGACGTTTTGTTTCTAAGTAATTACAGGGCAGCTCCAAAGTGCCACAGGTACAGGAATCACAATAACCCAAGTGGAAGCCTGTTATTCAGGGGGTCTTGATTCAAGCAGAGTAAAAGGACATTCTTTTTACAGAGGACCATACCCAAATACAAAATTAGCTGCCTCCCTCACGTGGAGACAAAAGCAGTGGCTGGTTTATACCTTATTAAGTAAGTCCTACGAAGAGGAGCCCTGTGCTCTCCGTGCTGAGTTCAGCTCTCCCAGAAGGGAAGCTGCCACGGCGTGGCACTGTTCACAGACACCAGCGTGCGCAGGAGAGATGTCACAGCAGGAAATTCTGGCTCAGCCCATTTCGTAGCCCTCTTAGCATCAGCCTCCATCTGGAGATCCCCACAAAACATTTTTCTGCATTCCACTACCTTTTCCACTGGTTTAAATCATTCCATTCTCTCCACTGCTGGCCACGGTGCTTTTCTTTCATTTTCCAAATTTAATCCAGCCTAGAAATGACGCCACAGGGCCACATCCCCAAACCACAGACATGTAAAAAATCAGGACAGACAGCAGTTTAGATGATCTGGGCAGGGGGTCTCGCCCTAACAGACATATGTGACATGGTCTCTTGGTGGCACACACTCACATCCATCTGTCGAGATGGAACGGAGCCCACTGCACTTCCCTCACCCTGTGTTCAGTTCACATGCACCACCTAAAGCTCTGGGTTCAGCAGGCAGGGCACACAGCGCTGCGAATCCTCAACATCCTAAATCCTTGGATTGTTGGCATGGAAAACATTGCAAGAATTCTCACTGGGGGAGTTGGGGGGAGGAAAGAGGAAACACGAAAACAACCACCAGCCCTGGGCTCCTCGGAGGGAAGCAGATCTTTCCAACAGGAAAACAACAGATCGCAAGCATTTACCACGTTTGGTTTAATTGCTTGTGGTCAGTGAATTCAGTAACAGCAACCTGAACTTTTTTATATGCGCACAGGCTCCTGTAATTAGACATCAGGAATTACCACTTTGTCTTCTACTAAACACCAACTGAGCAGCCAGCTTAGTTTTAGGAATGGTAAGGAGTAAACCCTAATTTTCACACATATTTCTACATGAGAAAGAAACTAAATGATTCAAAAGTAGTAGCCAGAGAAAACACAGCACCTGTAAAGCACTAGCAGGTCACAGTGACCCATATACAAGTGATTTCCATTACTGTGAGCCAAACTTGTAACCATTCACCCTGAGAGTGTGAAGAGGTATCAGGAAGAAGTGTGAACATTCCTGGGAGAGGATTATGAACGTGCGTCAGAAGAGACTCAGCAGAGAGGGGAGCTCAGGGCTTTCCCTGCACAGTCAGCAGTGTAAAACTGTTTCCCTTCTTCCCCAGGTAACTCGGTAAGGATGTCTGTTCAACATCAGCTAAGGGACAGTGGCTCAGAGGGGAGCTAAAGCCCAGCCCGAGAAGCCCCACACAGCTTGAAATACCTCCACAATGCGGATTTAAGACTCTGTGTTCTTTGTCCCAGACTTTGCCGTCATTAGTGTAAATAAAGGTTTACAACGGCCTTCTCCAGCTAGCTGTAACGTGGTAATATGGCATTAATAACTTAATACACTATTAACTGATAGACAATCAGTATTAGCACAATGTTTACCCTCGCAAACCCTTATCAAGTGTAGTATCTCCAATCCTCACCCTGCCAGTAATTAACAGGTGGGGCTCATTACACAGCCATTGCCACTTCCCTCGGGAACCCGTGCCTGCCCAGGGCCCCCAGCCCGGGGAACGGCTCACTGATTTAAACTCCCTGCAGAACAGCCAGGGCGTTTCGCCGACCAGGGCCTGCACCCCTCGTTTCCAAACACCGCGTCCAAGGAGCTGCGAGGGGCACTCGGAAAGCGGGGCCTCCCCGAGCCCCCACCGAAAGGCCGCACGCCCCCCAGTCTTGCTGTCGGGCCCCTCTCCCCAGCCCTGTGCCAGCCCAAATACATTTATTTACAGTCCCGGGGACGATTATTTAGCTTTGGCACCGCAGCCACAGCCCTTCCCGGGCCAGAAGTTTGGGGTGAGGGGGGGAAGCGGCACTCGGGGAGCCGCGGAGAGGGGCGCCCCCCGCCCGCGCCCTACCTGACCCGTGCTGCTGGCGGAGGATGGCGGCCTGCCCGGGCGGCGGCGAGGCCGAGGAGGCAGCGGCGGCCGCCGAGACGGTGACGGTGGAGGCAGCCCCCTCGGCCGGGGGCGGCGGCGGCGGTG